CTTATGTTCAATCTACTAAACGTACGACGACTTTCTTAAGTTACGTCAGAGAGCATAAGTCTGTCGTCGATACTGGACGAGACCTCTTGCCAGTACCCGAGTTCGTAGTGTCAGGTGGAAATATACCAAAGTACGGTCAAAACACTATATCGGCCATTAATATTACATAATTTATTAAAGTACTTTACTTTAGATGCAGCATTTCCATTTTGTTTTTCTGACTGTTAAGTTCAATGACATACAAAGTATAGTGAAGATAACAGCATATTTTGATTGTAGACATATTGGATTTATCGTAAGAGAATTGAAAGATACAGAAATAAAATTTCTGGTTAATCTGTCAGTTTTGTAAAAACAAACGCGTTACTTGTTTTTCTCAAGTAGTAGTCATGTGACTAATGAAGATATGTAAAAGCATTAGTTGCAGTGTTTTACCATTAGGCGTCACTTCTTAGACAGTTACTTCGATCTGGGTTGTATACGTATAAAAAAAAAAAAAGTAACAGACAAACAGACATGGTTTACGAGTGTATACTTTGTGGTGAATATTTTCAAAATGTACAATCATCTTATCATCTATGTACAAAGCATTTTGGTGAATGTCCTATTTATTTTGTTTATAGAGATGTGTTTTATTTATGCAGTCATACGACTGAACATTTAAATATTCCCCAATGTTTCTGTGTGATACTTTACAAGTCTTTATTTGCATATATTAAAGATAGCATATTAGGGTATGATGAAACACATTAGTTTTATGTTGTAGGGGAATGGTAATTTGAAGGTCAAGATCTAATGTTCAGCATGACGGGGGACAGTCGATTTATTTACGGATTTCAGGTGAATGATATATTTTGTATAGTTTCTAAAATAATGAAACTGATTTCTGTGGAGAATTCCCCTTGTGTTTCATTTATGCTGATTTATTCTATTTGACTAATAGCATGCTAGAACAAGTATATATCGCAGGTATTATTATGGTAACAAGAGGAAATATCTGTTTTGAAATAGTCGAAGAATAATCAGTTGATTTATAACTAAAGGTTCTTTTACGATATTGATTGTCAACTTTTTTTCGGTTCATTTGTGAAACACGTATTTAATGCTTTGTTAAACCAACAAATTTAAATTTTTGCACTGATTTTTAGGTGAAAAGGATAATACAAGTTACCATAACATTTTTTTTTCAAAAATCTATGTCAGTTTTGAAAAATTACATTTTCTGAGTATGAAACATCAATGAACATGTATAACATGATTGGAAGCTTGTTAATATTTAAATAAAAATTGGACTGTTTGTTGTAGACTGGTGTGTTTGAACCTGGAAACAGTTAACTCTGTCACCATTGGAGTACATAATTTGTTGTATTGTATAATGAAATAATAAGTCTCATTCCTCATGTTGACATAGTTTTTAAGTTTAAGTAAATATCATAAATATTAAAAGTTGAACTGAATCGATCATAGTCAAGCTAACTTTCATTTTGAAAAATATTTTAAGCTATCTTTTCCAACTTACCCAGCCTGAACTTTTGACGGATGTCGAGTACAGTTTAATCTTACTGATGAGAGTATATTGTTATGTATCTGCTTGTTTCCGGTAGAAATTCTTTCGGGTGATCTTCAGTGATACAAGACCTTTCTTGATTAAACCAGTTTATTTTCCTCATACAAACTTGTAGTACACAGTAGTTCCACAATCGGTACGTTTCTCGTCACTTTAAAGTTAACAACTTTTATGATACACGCTATAAATCACAGCGATTCACAATTTCGATGACTTCGCTCTCGAGGAGTGCAAAACACACACTTTACGGCTCACTAGCTCGAAACTAACAGAATAATAAATTACACGGAACTCAAAGTAACTACTACTCTCTCTTCATTCATTCCCGCTGGCTTTCTCTGCCAGGCTTATATACTAAAGAGGGCATCTCAAGCACTTCCCCAATCATCCGAGAAACTCAACCAGCAGTGGCACGTGACTTCCGCTGTTGTAACAATATGAAACGTTTTATGTTGTAAAGTATGGTTGAAATACTATAATTACAGTATATCATATATAAACTAAGTTCATTCATGTTATTGATTACCTAATAAGTCTAATTGTTTTTTCGTATAATGGAATTTCTGATTTTTCAACAAATATATACATTCGAAAGTCTCATGTTTAAACTTTTTCAATATAATGTAAACATATTTCAAATTTCTTTAACTTTTGTTTCTGGGTTGTACATTTAATCGTTTCGTCATCTCGACTGTTTTGAAGACTGAACGGCCTTAGGCTTAACACGTTACAATGAGAAAGTTCGTTTATAAGATGCACTTTAAAACTGTAAAATTTTATGATTTTATTTGTTTGGTATGTTTTTTATACTTCAAGTGAATATTCTATAGAAAATTGTAAGTTTTGCTATCTTAAGTATTTTCTATGATACTGAAGTGATTGGTTAAACAATAAGATGTGACGACCTCCTAACACTGTCTTAATGTTAAACAGTATTAAAGTTTTATGAAATTTTAATAATCAAGGGAATGGATGGATAAACAGTAAGTCATTCATTTATTATTTTTAGTTGTAGCAAAATGACGAGAAAGTATGTAAAGTAATTTTTTAGTTATAATAACTGCCTCATTAAAGTAATGGATAATATGTATGTTATAATAATTGTATCATTGAAATAAGAGTTTTTGCACCCTTTTCATGACAATAAATGTAAAAAGTGTGCTTAAACATAGAAACTATAATCAGTATAAGTTAAACATGTACAAAATCATACAAACGAGATTGGCTGTCTTTTTCAATATTTATAGAAACATTAGGCATGGTAAAAACTTTCCAGCAGTAAGTTAATTGTGTTAGTAACATTAGCGTCCTACAGAAACACAAGCAAATAAAAGATAAGATGAGACATGTTGAAACCTGCATGCTGTCCTATGGAAGTATAGAAACACCTTTGTAAAACATACACAATTAAATGCACGTTGATATCTGTATACGAGCCTTTAAGCCCCCCAGTAGCACAGCGGTACGTCTCCGGACTTACAACGCTAGAAACCGGGTTTCGATACCCGTGGTGGGCAGAGCACAGATAGCCCTTGCGTAGCTTTGTGCATAATTAAAAACAAAAACAAAAAAAACGAGCCTTTAACATTTCCTACCTTTGTAAAACACATGTAATACAAATAAATATATAAATGGAAACAAAACAAACATAAGTTGTGATCTCATTCAAATAATGGATAACTGCAGATTTGTCAAAATCCTACGGACAGTAAGATTGTCATTACAATAATAATTTTAATATAATTAAGTCTAACCAATGATTATATGTTACTCTTGGTAACTAATTATATGGATAACATAAAGACAAACTAGTGAAAGTGTAAGTTTTAAATTATTTAGAGATTTAAATAAATGTCCTTTTTAGGACTATTAACATATACATGATCAGGAAGTATGATTAAATATAGAACTAATGAATTGCTGTTTTATACTGACTGTATTAAATCTAGCCATGTACAGACATGTTGATCCACTTTGTGGACTTCATTATCTCTTATGCCATGTCCGCCTGTCATGGCAGCCTTACAACGCGCCACTGTCAACATATCTTCTCCGATGACATCATTGAATGGTGCCCTCTGATTCCACTTCATAGAACTATGATGTAATTGTCTCTTGTGACATCAGCGTCTCTACCCCTTCTCCCTCCCCTCTCTGTGGCAGCCAATCAGCACATGTGTCTGAAGTGAAGAGATAGCTACTCCCCACCCTATGTTTTCTGGATGCGTTACCCCCTCCCCCCCAGAAAATTAATTCATTTATATTCAATCAAAGGCTTGGACATGCTGTGTCAATGTTATCCTTTTATTTAATGTATATCGTTGCAAAAAATATTATAGCTTATTTGAATATTTATATATATAATTATTCAAATAAGCTATAATATTTTTTTGCAATGATATACATTACATGAAAGGATATTTGGCGCATTTTTTAAAGAAATTGTCTTTTGTCCAAGATAATAATTTATTCTGGATTAAAACTTTGAAGCTGTGTATAAGTCATCGATATGTTGCTAAAATGACTTTCAGTAAACGAAATGCTCGAGCGAAGGCGGAACTAAACCATTAGTATGTTGTGTTACATACAGTTTTTTAAATATCCGTATTGGATTCTGACTTTAATAAATGCTTATTAATTATATTGCATGATATTTAGGAAGGTATCATTTTTGATATAAAAAAAACAACTTTGGAACTCTTCAGAATTGAATCTACTTGGAGTTATGTTTGTTTTAGTGTTTTAGCACGAAACTACACAAGGGCTATCTGCAAATGGCCATTCCTAACACTCGGTTATGATTGGACACTTTTAAATGTGAGCACGTTCTTAACACTCGTTTATGATTGGACAGTTTTGAATGTGAGCACGCTCTTAACACTCGTTTATGATTGGACAGTTTTAACTGTTTGTCATGCTTTTAACATTCTCATTCTGTTATGATTGGACAGTTATAAATACGGGTATTGCTTTTTATCATTTGTGGAACAACTACTAGTCTAATGACTTTTCAATGATTTTATATATTTTTCTTTTTGGAATTTTCAGAAAAACGGGAGAGAGTTTGTGATATCCAATTTAAAATATCAATATTTGCCAGGCCTAATAACTGTACAAAACTGATAGTTTCGTTCTTTGACATTAAAAATGTTCAAACAAAACTTGTTTCTTCTCCTAACACAAAGCTTCATGTTATTATTTCTGAATTACCTTTTTAAGGATATTCAATCTTATCAGAATTACCCATACTGAACAGGTTATTATCGATAATTAAATACTGAACCTTAGTAGGGTTCAAACCCGTGTTTTCGTTCTTAAGCAAGTTGATCAACCATTCATCAACTAAGTAATCGGACTTATGTTTTGTTTCAGACCTCCTTTTTGGTTTTATAAAATATATTAATCGCTGATTGGTTAACTTCTCTAGGTGACTATGGCAGATCGGTCAGCGGCTGAAAGAGCAGTGAAAGATGCCAACCCAATTATTGATGGTAGGAAAGCCAACGTTAATCTAGCATACTTGGGGGCCAAACCAAGAGGAAACACAGTTAATGGTAACGTATATATATGGTTAAGTGTATAGAACCTTTTATCGTTAGGTTTCCCTACTACGCTTTCAAACACTTGCCGCTTTCACGTCAGTCTGTCCTCCTCCGTACTTTTTCCAATAATTCAATGTCCTTTCTGAAGTAAGAAGCCCAAGACTGAACACAGTATTTCTGTAGGTAAAACCTAAAATCTTATTTTCACTTCCTCTAGCAATAGCACATTGCCTGGATGGCTCAAGAAACAGATGAACCAGAACACCACTATATTTTTCTTCCATAACACTGTTAAGGTCATTCTCATGAAAATTATACTCATAATGCAAATTGTGATACCCTATTTACATTACCTTGCATTTATTGTAATTAAAAACCTTCTGCTATTTTTTTTTCTCAACTCACCAAATAATCCAAGTTCTTCTGTAAATCAGCAACATCCTCTTCACAGCTAACAACACCAAGACCTTAATATTATCTGCAAATCTATGTCATTGATGTAAATCAAAAAATCCAAAAGTTTTAAGACTTAGCCCTGAGATATCCCACCCATAAGATTAAACCAGTTTGATTGAACTCCATTTGTAACAATCCTCCGCTTTCTTCCATCAGGTCACTCTTCTATCCAATTTTCTAACTTATCCCCAGATAACTTTTTAAAACAAACCTTTTTATGTGGCATCTTGCTCAATGCTTCCTGAAGCTCCAGATGCACCAAGTCTACACCCATACCCTCATAAGCAGACAAAACTTTCTTAAACGACTTTGTAAATTATCTTTCGTCAGACTTTCAGAAACTTTTTCCTATCACTGATGCACGACTCATGCTCCTATAATTACTGGAACAATTTTTTTTATCACCTCCAATCATCTGGCACTTGGCCATTATTCAACTAGTTCACATATCCAGTCCTTAACAGATATTAGCTTTCCTGTATCATCCCTTAAAGGCTCTACTCCCATCCTAACATATTGTTACCCTAATATATTTGAAGAAGTCATTACTATCAATTTTTACATTATCAGACAACCTTTTTTCCCCTAATTTCCTATTTGACCAACTCTCTTGGTTTTCTATATACCTCCAAATCTCCCATCAATTTAAACTTCGTATAGTTATAATGCTTTTCTTTGATTTAATCACTTATAACCTGTATACCAACTTGGTTTTGCACTTGCAGCCACTATTTTTTTTTGGTCTAAAAAGAGTATCCCTATCTTGAATATGTAAGAAAATATTTTCCACATTTGATCATTATCTCCATCTAATTCGGTTGCTAAGTTCACAGCACATAACTTTTGTCTTATCTCTTCAAAATCTTATTATTCCTGATCTCCACATGTAACAATACATCAGATCTAATTGATCAATGATCACTTTTACCTAGTATCCACCCTGTCAACCATTTCATTGTTATACTTTCAGGAGCATCACTTCACAAAGTGTTGGGGGGGGGGATAAAGAAGGCTGACATTGCGTGGGTATCCGCAATTCAGCGGGGGAAGGGGGTTCCCAAGCTATCACGTAACTTAGGTATACGTGTTAATCCGGCCTGACTAGCAATGTTTCACAGAAATTATCATTTGTGGCTCGTACCCGAGCTTGGAGGAAGGGAGACCATCGTGTCGGCCCCACCAAACTGACACTTCTGCCTTCACAACTTCCACAGTTGATATCCTGTTTTGTATTCAGACTTGTACCATCCACTACATATAAATATAGTCTTAAAGGTAACATAGGGCAAGTGAATTGTTGAAGCGGCTTTGAATTTCTAGCATGACGTCATTTCCGGGTTAGCTGGGGCCTTTGCGAAATAAATTATATTCTGGAAAAAAATGTCTATTACTGACCTTCTGAAACTTAAGCTTATATTTATCACAAGTTATTGAGTAGTTTCAGGATTTTTTTTCCTGTTGTAATACTTGATAAAAAGAAGAGTAAAATTGCTTATTTTCTATGTAAAATACGTTTGGGACCCAAGTGGTAATTAGTTGAACTAATTTCAACATTGATGTTCTTCTGTTGCTGTTTTTTTTCCTGTTGTAATACTTGATAAAAAGAAGAGTAAAATACGTTTGGGACCCAAGTGGTAATTAGTTGAACTAATTTCAATATTGATGTTCTTCTGTTGCTGTTTTTTTCCTGTTGTAATACTTGATAAAAAGAAGAGTAAAATACGTTTGGGACCGAAGTGGTAATTAGTTGAACTAATTTCAATATTGATGTTCTTCTGTTGTTGTTGTATTTTCTCACACGTTATGAATCCTGTAGACGATAAAGTTGTGGACTCGGAAGAAATTTAGTATATAGATAGTTTTGAAAAACGTGTTTTTTAAGCCAATGGGGAGTCATCGTTAATTTTCGGGTTATAAATGAAATTTGGAGACCGTGTCTAGTGCTTGATTTGTATATATATACAGTGTATAATTTTCAGTACAGCCCTACATAATTTATGAAGCTGTATTGAAGCAGAGAGCTTATGGACCCTGTACACCAGCTGTTCGTAACATGTTTGTCACGCAGAGCATGTGGCCGTCCACAAAACACTTGCGGTGTGTATGACGTACGCACGTTTCCGCGAGTTGACTGTGGGTTTACACGTCGCCAGAATCCCTGCGTTCCTGCCATCTTTCTGCGTGACACATAAAAAGAGATCAGATCAAGCAAATTATTTCTGACGCGGGACGACGTAGTAGCTAAATACGTTGGACTAACTCTGTTTGAGCGTTGTTTCCGCCTTCTTTTTTTTTTTTTAGTTTGAGTAATACTTTTTTTTTCTTTAACGAAGAAAGGACCAACTATTTTAGGGCCACTGGAATGAAAACATCTTAGAATGGTGTGCATGACCTTTTACCAACTATTTTAGGGCAAGCCTAGGAATGAAAGAATTTTATTGAAAGGTCAAAAATCTAATTCCAAAGTTAAGGAAGTAAAATGTCAGAATCTAACACAGCTGAAAGTTAACTATTCTTTTCAATTTCTAAAATTAAAGCTGCTCTCCCTTTTAATGCCAAAATCAAAAGGTTTTGAAGTAATTATATAAAACAATTGTCGCTGTTAGAATTGCTATAATTCGACTACAATTCACATAGCTTAGCTGTAAATAGTGTAAGGATTCCAGCCATCTGCAGTTTTAGTTATTTACTGAGTGTGACCAATTGCACGTGTTTTTTGTTTCATTTGCTGGCCTGTGCCGATCTGCTTTCAAGCATCATCATCGTTCACCTTCATCTAGTCAGTGATGCTCGATTTTCCATAACTTTAGAGTAAAAGGTAATCTTTTTCTTCGTAAATTCAAATAACCCTTTCAAACCAAAGGGGATAATCTGCCCAACTTCAAAATGCAGAAGCTGGATGTGACCTATCCTAGGTTGCAAATTAGGATTTGTTTACCACTGAGGCATAAACTCTGGCCATCCCAGGAGGTTACCCCTTTGGTGAGGGTTATGGGGTGAATTACCCAGAAAAAGTTTGAAAATAAGACAGTAAAACTAAGTGGTCAGAGGGGTTATAAAAAATCTGTGTCAACATAACATTGGACAGCTTAGAATAGTTAGGTTTATCTGACCAGTTGATGAGATCCATGCAAGTGAAGCTAAGTGGTCATAGTGGATATAAAACTTGAACCTGAAAACGCGCTGCACCTTTCGTCGTGAAGACATTATAACTGTAGCTCCCAATTCGGGCCGGCATGGCCAGGTGGTTAGGGCGCTCGACTCGCAATTTGTGGATCGCGGGTTTGAATCCCCGTCACGCCAAACATGCACGCCCTTTCAGCCGTGGGGGCTTTATAATGTGACGGTCAATTGCACTATTTGATGGTAAGAGAGTAGCCCAAGAGTTTGCGGTGGGCGGTGATGATTAGTTGCCTTCCCTCAAGTCTTATACTGCAAAATTAGGGACGGCTAGCGCAGATAGCCCCCGTATAGCTTTGCGCGAAATACATAACAAACAAACAATCAAAGCACTCAATTCTAATAATGGTTAAGAATAGCCGTGTAAGTGGTTGGTGCTGCTGACATTTGCTCTTCCTCTAGTCAGTTGTTCTTAATTAGGAATGTCTAAGTTTGGGTCTTGAGGGTCTCTGACCTGGCCATTTAGCTCTTGTATCAAGATGTAACAAGATGATACCCCCCCAGTATATTTGAGACAGACAGGATTGTGCCCATGCAGGGTTTGAATATCACTGAGGTATAGTTTCATGGGTGTACTCTGTTTAATGGCTTGGTAGATTCTTTTTTTTTTTATCTTTTTTTTTTTTTTTTTGTTCCAGCTACCATCAATCTACTCGTTTGAGGAATCAGCCTCTATTAGCTTAATGCTGGTTCTGTTCGTGAATATTAAAATCATACTTTGTGGCACCAAATAAAAATAAAAAAAAGATTTTATGGACACCTATTAAAAATCAAAACACAACAAAATTTAGCTCTGGATTTGCTGGTGAGATTTAAATATTTTATATATTCTATAAAATTTGCCACCCCCGGTTGTTTAAATCAGAAGGCCTATAACGCCAAAAAGCCAGGTTTTAATACCCGTCGTGTGCACAGCACAAATACACCAATTTCCTGCTTTGCGCTTAACAACAAACAAAATTCATAGTATTTAAATATAGTTAAGGTGAAACGACACGTTTAAAAAAAATGCCTTTTGCTTCATGATACTCTGTATATACAGATTTTCGGTAGGCGTGGTTTAAACCATAGAAAACGTTACAATTTCCGACATTTGTACATTTTCTCGCGACCTTCCCACTCTCTATGAAAACCTACATTTAAAATGTCGAAGTATTTTTTTTTAAAAGAAATATTGTCCAAAGTTAATCATTTGAAATAGGGGAAACTGAAAAGAAGTGTCTAAGTCCACGAAATTTGCGAAGTTCCTATTGGTTAATTCTTCATTTATGCGTGTTATTTATTGATTGTCAGTCACGTCTTTTCCACATCGTGTTTTAAAGTGCGCATGAGCTTCTTCCCCCGAAGGAAAAATATTGTTTTGTTATTTTCATTATTTGGAGCGACATCTTTCGGAGATTAGACTATTTTAGGCAGACATTCGTTCAGTCAAATTGGGAAGCTCTTGGTAGAAAGTGTTACATAACTGCCTGAATAGTACTAACCTCAACTGCCTGAATAGTACTAACCCCAACTGCCTGAATAGTACTCATCCCCCCTCTGAATAGTACTAACCCCCTCTCACCTCTTCTCTGCCTATTTTTCTCATAAATGGAAATTTAATTTAGCAGTTTAGTTTTAATTATAATTTAGGACATCACAACCACCAGTGTTTATAAAAATAATGTTTTACGGCATAATGTTTATATATAAATGACATCACAACTACAAGTGTTTATGAAAAAGACATTTTAGGACATCACAACCATAAGTATTTGTAAAAATGAGGTTTTAGGACATTACAACCACTGATGTTTATAAAAATGACATTTAAGGACATCATAACCACCGATGTTTATATAGATGTCATTTGAGGACATCACAGCCGCCGATGTTTATAGAAATGACATTTTAGGACATGACACCCACCAGGGTTTGTAAAAATGACATTTTAGGACATCACAACGACCAATGTTTATAAAAATGACGTTTTAGGACATCAGAACCACCAATGTTTGTAACAGAGACATTTTAGGACATCACAACCATCAATGTTTGTAACAGTGACATTTTAGGACATCACAACCATTAGTGTTTGTAACAGTGAGATTTTAGGACATCACAACCATCAATGTTTGTAACAGAGATATTTTAGGACATCACAACCATTAGTGTTTGTAACAGTGACATTTTAGGACATCACAACCATCAATGTTTGTTACAGAGACATTTTAGGACATCACAACCATCAATGTTTGTAACAGTGAGATTTTAGGACATCACAACCATTAGTGTTTGTAACAGTGAGATTTTAGGACATCACAACCATCAGTGTTTGTAATCTTTTTTTTCTTATTATTTTTCTAAAAATCAACTCTTCACGTAAAGGTAGCAATGTGTGAAGCTTTGAGATTGAATTATAACTGTAAATATAAATATATCGATGATATTTTTCTCGTGCAACTTTGTTTACAGAAGATATAAAATACGACCATTTATTATTTTTTAAATCAAAATATGTGCAGTGATATTTCATATTAACACACAAATAATTTTCCCTTTTCTTCCTGTTTCAGGTTTTCCTGTACCTGTAAGGACAGGTTTTCCTACCGTATTACCAAGTCAGTATGGGTAAGTGCTAACTTAAATTACATAGTTGTTGTATGAGGAACAAAAGATGAGTAGGACTAACAAGATGGTAAAACTTTCCATAAACGGTTTATTGTAGAATATAAATAAAACGTTCTATTGACCAACTTTTGTGTTAATGATTAAAAAAACCTTTACGGACTATTTTTAAAAGCGGTGGATTTTTATCTCTGCCATACGTTCATGTGTCACTTTACTTGTACTGTGTACATTAATTTCGCTAAGTACCAAAGTTAAGTATAACGATATAGTACGTCTGTTCTTTGTGACAGAGCAATCTTTCAGTGAAGGAAGAGAAGATGGACAGAATATTAGTAAACTAGAGATCGACTTAGTTGTACTTCGAAAAACGAAACGTTTTCATTGTGAGGATTATTTGTTACATAAAAGAATAAACGTTTCGTTATCCATTACAATTTACACCAGTGGTCGGCAACCTTTTTTGATCGCGGGTCAATTATTTTTTTTTGTTGAAAAATTTAACATTGTGTTGGGTCAGTGATAATCATATAATTATTAATACCGGTACACGTATTTTAAATGTGTACGTTTATTTACATACAAACAAATTAATAGTTCGACCACTTTGATATTTTCCCCTGAAATTGATCTTAAAATTCTCCGTAGCCGTGACTCTTTCCTTTAATATTGTTGTTCTTCTCACATAGCCGAGAAACTTGAACTGAACAATGATTGTGCACTTACGGGTTGCAATGGTGAAGCCAACTTTTGGCGGGTCAGCCAAATCGTAGGTTGCCGACCACTGCTTTAGACTATTTCCAATGTACCAAATTCACATTTAAATATGAAAAAATAAAGTTGCGGTCGTAGAGCATGTTATTATCTGTCATTCAAAGTTAATTTTTCTAACACCTATGACAGCCAAAGATAAATGACCGTTACTGAAGTAAATATCACTAAATCACTGTTTTGACGCCCACCGACGCCTGGACGGAAGACATAGGGTTTTGATACCTGCGGTGGGCACAGCACAAATAGCCAATTGTGTAGCTTTGCGCTTAACAACAAACAAACCGTCATGATTTGGTTAGTGGTATTCGAAAAAAAACAACAACCCAGAAAAACAATATTATGTAATAATGTCTGAATAAAATTATAAAATTTCCACCATGGGCTGTTATGCAACAAACATCTTAACATGCCTAACATACGTAATTCTAAACTGGATAAACATATGCATAAACAACAGATTTTGATTATATGCAATTTTTAAAATTATCATATTGTAACAAGAGTCGTCGACGGCATAACTACCGTAAATCGAAAGTCTTGTAGATCGTTGAAGGTAGAAGTTCAATGCCTTTCTCCCTGTGCAACCCCAACAGACTTTTGTTTATATGGTCTTCTTATATTCTGGTCATGGAAAGTGAACTCTACGTGAAATAAGAATGGAGAAGGAAGGTTGTGGAAAGTTTGTCAACCTATGCAGTCTAGGGTTGATTTCACCAAAAGTTAGCCACAATGGAATTTATGGTGTGCAGCGATAATTTGTAATTACAACCTTCAGACCAAGCACACGATGAACAATAGAGGTAATATTTCTAGTACAAAGACCAGGGAATATTGTTCTTTTAAAGAGTGTTTAATTTTTGTACCTTGTTGTACTTACTCGCTAACGAATAAACTATAGTTGCTACAAAATAAATTACACTTTGTTTTCTTGCAAATAGTGTATCTATACAACAGGACAAAAATTAACAATTAGCAACTCAATCGTATCCACAATGAATAATATTTCAGTATGATTGAATTATAAGTAAAATGTTTAAAGAGACACTAAACATCTAAAAGGAACAAGAATTTGTCCGACAAACCTTCTTTCACTACCACATGGCTGGGTCAATACTTTGTTATAACAATTAGTTAGCCGATTTCTACATAATTCAAATTTCTTGCTACTTGCTAACACTGGTATGGTTGGAAATGGTGGCAAGTCTGAAGACGAGGGCTGGACACTTACTAAAATAACAAATATATGGTCATTGTATGACTTGGGAGTAAGATGCACCGGTCACTAAGTGACCTTTCTTTTGTATTTTAGTGTGCACGC